GGAGGAGATCCTGGCCTAGCCAGCAGAATATTCTGGACCTCTCTCAAATGACTGGTGGGGGTGGGGATGTGACCAGGTGAGTCACTGTGATAGGGTTCTAGGACTTTACTGGAGTATTGAGAAAGAACACCTCATTTCCCCCTGGTTGCTCTGGGACAGGATATAAATTAAAGCTATTACTAGCCATCTGTCACAAGACAGAGAGAGGAAGTGGGATTCAGAAACAAAGGCACTATTCCCATGTCAGAAAAGTGGAGTAGCATTCCTCCAGGTCACTTCTGGTCAGTCACATACCACAGTGAATTCAAGTTCTTGTTTAGCCATGTTGAGTTCCTGTTAGTAGAGAGGCTGGGTGCCAGATCCCACCCTTATAACCCAGGTGAGCAGGAAAGAGTCCCAGCTGGATGGAGACCTGCTCCTTTATCCGATGGGACTGCCACTGAGTCGTTACCACCCCTGCTGTAGACCAAATTCCATCCCTGAATCACAGGATGCAGTCTCTAGTTACATTTATTTGTGGCCTGGGCCCATGAAGAAGAGGTAATTAAGGTTCAGTGAGGTTGTGGGTAGCTAATCCAATATGACTAGTGACTTAGAGGAAAAACAGAGAGGTGGGGAGAGGGAGAAAGGCGGGGTGGCGGTGAGAGGTTGTGAGGACACAGCAAAAAGCTAAAGAGGCTTCAGGAGAAACCAAAACAGCCAACACCTTGATCTTGACTCAGCCTCCAAGCCAGGGACAAAGACACTTTTGCTGTAAAAAGCCACCCAGACTGTGACATTTTGTTATGGCAGCTGGAACTGCTTGACACGGAGCAGGAACGTGGTTTTGCCTCTGTTCACATGGTATCTTCAAGTCTGCTTGGTTCCAAAGGCAGGCTGGTTCCCTGCACTCACGGGGCACTGCTGCCCCTTCCACAGAGTCAGGGCCTCCAGTAGCAAAGAATTAATTCATTTACAAGTGATTTACAGTTAGAAATCCTAGGCAAGCAAGTGGGACGTGGGGTGGCACTTTGGTTCCAGCAAGTCACTTGTCTGCACGGACAAAGGAGGCGAACACACTGTCCTTCTGGCTGAGAAGTGTCTCTGGCTTGTCAAACTCCAAGATAGCACCCCTCTTGAGGACCATCACCAGGTCTGCACTCAGGATGGTGTGCACACGATGCTGGGTGGGCAGGAATGGCTGGTGAGTGCTGTGGGCAGGACATCTGAGGAAGCCTGTCCTCACCCCAGCCAGGAGGAGATTCATGGCCTCATGTCCCCCAATCCCCTTTTTTCATGTAGCCCTGACAGACCTGAGGCTAACTATGTGGCCAAGGATAAGCTTTTGCTCTCCCTTCTACTTTCCAAGTGCGAGGATTACAATGTCACCACCACACCCCATTTCTGCAGTGCTGGGGACTGAACCCTCAGTTTCATATCTGGTAGGAAAGAAGTCTCCACAGCTGAATGTCCTGCTGAAGTGCTGGCTCCACCTGGAGTGGCTGTGATCCAAACCCTCTACTCTTTTTTCCTCTATCAAACCTTAGCTCTGCCCCCATTCCAGGCTTCAAGACTTACAGACTCCCTCCCCAGGCTCTCACTTTTAATCTTTCAATGGGAA